TTTGTCTAAAGAAGAAGAGCCGGAGTATTTAACCCCACCAGTGTGGGCCAGTCACCTTCCTATCTTTCTTCCTGTGGACCATCAGCCAGCAAGAGTAGTAATGGAGGGTGAGATTCGTCGATCGACCTCTCCCCCCAGCAACTTCTCTTCTTACCCATCTTAAGCAACATGCATGGTGCTGCACTGTGCGAACTACGGAGGGGTGAATGTCACTCTCAACTACTTCCTCACAGCTTCCTGTCCTCCCCTAGCAGAAGAGACACCACCCAAGAGCAGTTTTTCAGTTTAAATGCCAGCATGAATGCCAAGCATGTCACAATCTTCACCACTCTACTTCTGCCTCTCTTTCTCTTACTCTTTACCCTAAGAAACAGTTTCTCAGTAAAAAAAAAAAGAGCCATTATGATTTTTTCCTTATTGCTCTGCCTCCCTTTTCTCTCTCGTTTTCTTTTCCAGTTTTTAGTACCTGAAACAAAGAGCTCCTCCTTTCCTTTAAAGCCATCATCGACATGGACACAGCACTCATGAGTCCTCCATCGCTGCTAGAAAAGGGCCTTGAATCCTAACCAGTGTTATCTTCTTTAGAGTCCAGCATATCACCAAGAAAAAGCATTTTGCTAATCTCTCTGTCAGTGATAGAGGCATGTCGGGAATGTAGCATAGCATCAGTGGAGCTGACCCAATAAATCACTCCACTTTGCATCACTTCAGATACGTCTCAGCGGTTCATTTACTGTACAATGAACACTCCCGAGGGGCTCTCCACCTCGGATATCGCACCGGTTTCTGCAGTCCTGGTGCCGTGTCGAAGTGTCAATTGGTGGTCATGTCTGTTTGTTATCTCTCAGTTTTTCCATCTCTGTGTCGTCTCTCTGTTTTGTCCCCTGTGTCCTCTCTTCATCTTGTCTGTTTCTTCCAACATGGAGGAGGAGGCCCTGGCTGTGTCTTGTGTCTGGCATGTGCTGAATGCTCACGGAGCTGCCTCTGTCTCAGAATGTGACTATTTCAATAATCCCTCATTTGCATTTTCAAGCTGTTTTTCAGTGCAAACGGGCAAGTGGAGACCTGCGTCTCTGCCACGCTGACAATGGACAGTGTTGCTATGGTTTTCCGTAATCACAGCAACGAGAATGCCAGTTGTTTACTGTGAAAACCAGGGAGGAAAACAGGGTTGACACCTCTAATTAAAAAAAGTGAAGTGTGTTTTGCGTGTGTGTGTGTGTTGTGGACATTATCTTGTAAGAGAAGGAGACAGTTGTAGGGTTTGGGTTTTGGCTGTGAAAATACACAAGCATGCTGTCTGACAAGGACAGGCCAGATCATTTTGACTTAGTTTAAGAATTAAGAAGCATCAATATCAGTCCAGAGAGAATGTCAGTCACTAAGCTTTAAAAAAAGGGCTTAACAAAACACAGTGGCCTCCAGATTCATGTGGTGCACATCAGCAGTAGCGCAAACACACTGGCAGGGCAATTTGCATCAGACAACAAGACCTGTTGTGTGTGTGCAGTGCAATTTCAGTATTCATTTTGACATGACAATGCAACTGCACTTCTTGTACAATGTCAAGCACAAATGCAAACAGAAAATCTGGCCTCATATATTAATTTCATTAGATCTACTGATAAATTTAGATTGTAATATTAAAAACTTTAATAAAAAAAAACATGTTTGCTTGCTTGTCACACATTTGACACACAAAACAAATTGTGAAACTTATAAATGCTTCTTGTTATTGTTATTCTTGTATTCAATGAAAGTATAAATGTTTCACTATGCTGGCCCTCGTGTAACAACTGCATTCACAAACTGACCCCATATATCTCCAGAAGAATTTGTAGTCATGGAAAATAACATAAAGCCGGGAGGCATTTGGTTGGATTCAACAAGCAGACGGTCAGTTCAAATTCCAGCAGCGCCTATTGAATCAGCCAACATGGCTTTAGTAGAGCAGGAGATTCCATTAATAGAAGGTGGGGTCTGATATACAAACTTGGCATCTGCACCATCATTCATCCAAATTAATTTATGGTATCTGTTAAATGGAGAAGCTTTGCGGCACTCAGAGAATGCACCCCGCATATGTCCACAGAGCTAAACTCGGAGCCAGTTATAGTGCAGTCGGCCGAGATGAAAATGACCCCTCATGTGCTGTACAGTGACACAAATTCTATTTGTGATGATTCTACCGTATCCCAGAAACAGGATATTTATAGTTCAAGTTATTTATATTTCTTGAAGCCTGTGTTATCATTCCAGTGTGATGGATTCCTGTGCAGCTACAAGCTGGATTCCCCCTTTTAGGCCTAATACTCCCAATGGAGCCCACAACAACTGTTTTGGTCTTAATTTAATTTTAAAAGAATATTTTGAAAACAGTGAAATTAAGCTCAATGAAACGCCAACTTCCACATTCAAGGAATTATAAATGATAACTAACACAGCTACAGTATCATTTTGTGCAATATCTGAACAACACCAAAACATGGCTTGATATTTGTTCATCTTTACAGGTTTTAAAAGTAATGTTTTAACCACAGAGCCACTTATTGTGATTCAACGACAAATACCAAACAATTACTAATATATCCTATCAAAGTAGGAGTACTGTTACTTTTCCCAAATATTAGTAAGAATACATTTTGGAACCTATCCCCTTCTCTTCACAGTAATGTTCTTCAAGAGTATACTGACACTTTCATTTTCTTTATGAGAAAAATTAATCTTGAAAATTGCTTTAGGAGAAAAAAAGTGGTTTGAAGAAAACTGAAATCTTCCTCTCTTTGTCAGAACAGTATAACTCCAGGCTATAATCCCTCTCTTGGAGTATGAGAGCAGAGAGAATCAAGAATGCACTTAAATGAGTTCTTGAGTATTGAGTCTATTTGACTCAAATAGAACAAATACACAACAAAGATTCTCAATTACAGTAATGACGGAAATAAGTTACTTTCCACCACAGCTAATGGCGGCACGATCAATGTTCTATTAAGAACGATTTGCACCTAGAATGCATTATTGGCCTTTTTCACAGCAGATATTTTGTCTTGTGCAAGAAAAAGCACAGGTGCAAGAGACTCCTCACTTGAAGTTTGAGCCATTTATGAGAGCGGGCAGAATTAATTAGCGCCGGGCACCTGAGTAAACGAGACAGTCGTGAACATGCAGTAAAGAGAGCATGTGACTATGAAACGACTTCTGTCCCTACCTGAACTACTGCGACGCTCCATTAATGATGGGTCCCAGTATGCGCACATGGGAGAAGTTTGCCTTCAGGGCTTTCTGCCAGACAGGGTTTATTTTTACCCAAAGCACAATCTTTTTCTAAACTCAACCAAGTAGGTTTGTTGCCTAAACCGAAGGAGATTTCTGGCAGAAAGCCCAGAAAGCAAACCTCTCCTATGTGCCCAGTACCCCACCATGCACAATACCAGGTACCTGGATCCAGGACACTGAGGTGGGATACAGACACTAATTAAATAATTGAATTAATTGTGCCTGCCTGTGTGAAACTGTCTGCTGGGAAAAACAAAGAATCAATCAGAGCTATTTAACTCTTTTTGGTAGTTTCTTCTACAGTTTGAATGTTTTGTTATAAAAGCAAGATTAAATCAAAGCACATTTCTTTAATCCAGGCCCAATGGACTTTAATTTATAACAATAGTGATGGCTCTGCTCCATTCAGGTATGTCAGTGAGCCAGCATGCACAATACCAAGGCCCTGTACCTGGGACAACTAACTGAAATGAGAACGTCATTAATGTCAATAGTTACCCCTGTGCGTTTAATACTTTGACATGTCAACAATATCTGCCATGTAGTGCCATCAAGCTCTTATTGGTTGGTTTGCTACACATTTGGATGTTGTGAATGTTACTTTACTTGTTTACATTCTTTAAAATAAGTGTTCAGTGATGTCTACAGTAAGAATTAAACATGTTCACTTCTTCAACTCAGCATGGGCATTTTTTACTGAAGGACACATTGACCTGTCATTGCAGGACGTAATCAGGTGTAACTAATAACGTTAATGTTGCCTCTATTACATTTAGGAGCGTCAGTAAGTCATCCCAGGCAACATGCCCTGGAACTGACATACCAAAGTGGAACGACTATTAAACCGTTTTAATATTATGAATGTCACCTATGTTTAGTTACAGTCCTAAAAATAAGATTCCAGTGGAGTCTACAGTAGGAAGAAATTAAAATGAATATATTTATTTAATTTAGCCACCATAAACCCTTCAGAAAAGGACACTTTGACTTGTCGAAGCAGAAAGTGCACAGGTGTATCTAATAACATTAATGGTGTCTCTGTTCCATTTCAGAGTATCAGTAAGTCATTCCTGTGAGGCAGCATACACAACACCAGGGCCCTGCGACTGAAATATATAAACGTTGTGCTGGGAGAAGTGTATAATGACTTGAATTTGCATAAGCATTTGACAGGTGTTGAGCTCAGGGCATTTTCTTTTCTCCCAGGAGCCCTCCCCGCTCCGAAGTCAGACAGCAATATTTTCTAATACAATTTTCACAGGCTGTTGTGAGCGAGATTTCTCTACTTTTATGCCTGCATGAAAATACTGGAATTATGTGTGGATGCTGCAGCTACAACCACATGAAGTCGTGGTGAGTCAGAGGGTATAATAGCATCTTTTATCACTTGCAGGTAATAGGCAGGTTGACAGTTGACACTGGCTTCCTGTTAAATCATCAAAGAGTGAGGTTACAGGCCTGTCAGAACATGGCACTTCCTCGAAGACACCCCCACCTCTAACAAAACACACACACACACACACACACAGACAGACAGACAGACAAACCCACACATAAATGGGTGGGTGAGGTTTGACATTACTGACCTCTTAACCTTTGCCCTCTGACTAATTTCACCTCTTTGTAGGAGGGTCTCTCTCTCTCTCTCTCTCTCTCTCTCTCTCTCTCTCTCTCTCTCTGTCTCTGTCCTCCAATCCACTTATGCTGTCTCTCTCTGTCTGCAGACCTGAATGAGTGCGGGCTGAAGCCAAGGCCCTGTAAACACAGGTGCATGAACACATATGGGAGTTACAAGTGCTACTGCCTCAACGGCTACATGCTGATGCCTGACGGGACCTGTGGAAGTGAGTTGGCCCCTCACACACTCACACACAAGCACACGTCTCTTTTTGTATTGTTGGGAATATTTTCATTCCTGATCTATTTTCTCCCTCATTTTTTTTTTTTTTTTAAATCTTGCTTCTGCTTTGTAGCTTGGATTATGCTACTGTGAAGCTTTTCTTCACTTCACTACAAATGTATTCATCTGAATGCCAGTGCAAGGCAATGCTGATGACATATGCTCTCGATTACAAAATATGCTTTCCCACTTGTGTGAGTACCTCTGACAGCAGCCTCACGATCCTTTGATAGACTGCTTTGATTAAAGCCCCACATTGATCTGCTTCATTATAGCAACTCCAAAGTCTAAAGAACCCCTCTGAAGAACCCTGGGTAGAAAAGTATGAACCCTTTAGACCCTCGAGTGAGCGTGCATTTCTTATTGGTTGCCCTGAGGTATTCCACAGAATGGGAGTTATTGCCTGTACACGTCTTGCTGTAAATTCTGTTTCCCACCTGATAACTATTTTCTCCTCACCTTTCCTCTGGAGCATAGCGTGACTCCCGGTTGCCCTATATTAATTAGTTATTTTTTTATCAGAAAGAAATAACATTCCCCCCATTTAAAGTCTGAATTGTTCACCACTTTAGGAAATCTCAAGCAATTCCAGGTGTTGTCGTGTGATGAAAGCATGATAGTGTTAAAAACCTTGCCGCTCTTCTTTTCTCGCCTGCTACTGCTTTGATCAATAGATCACTGTAGCATTTAATCAGCCTGGCCTGCCTTAGTCATCAAACTGTACTCCAGGGTGCTTGTGGCAGCTGAAATGGCAGCGGCAGCATGAGCCTCACTTTTAATTTCCTTTTTAGGGTCCGAAGTTATTGAGAGAAACTGAAGAAAATCTGTTCCATTATATTATTATTTTGGAGGGTCTTGATCTGCCCTGCATGGCTCCGCAACAGAGGTGCTGCACACACTGCACACGCTTTGATAGGATTTAGATGGATTACGATTCTTTAGGTGTAGGAAAGGATGAAAGTGGGTGAGGGAGGATTGCGTGCACACAGAGCAACTGCACAGCACAGGAATCTAATAACGGCAGAGTGTGCGCTGTTCTGTTGTCTGCACCTCAGGGTCTACTCAGCTAATATCAGGCAGTGGCCTGGCTCTCACATACTGGCTGGAGGATAACGATAAAGTGTGAGTGTGAATGTGAAAAGGAAAGAAAGTGAGTGTGTTCTCTCCCTTTTGGCACCATCATTGGTTAATATGTGTTGTGTTTCCATTGTGTCAATCAGATGCTCGCACTTGTGGCATGGCCAACTGCCAGTACGGCTGCGAGGTGCTGAAAGGACAGGTCCGATGTCAGTGTCCGTCGCCGGGCTTACAGCTGGCTCCGGATGGAAGAACCTGTGTTGGTACGTCCTTGTCTTTATATATCTCCACAGGCCTGAAAAGTGAGCCTTATGTTACCACTCCCTCCCATGAGCTACTCATGTAAAGCATCACAAACAGGAATGTTTACATTATTTTTTTTTCAAGTTTCTCTCAGCCATTAAATTAGCTGAGTGATAATCAAATGCAACTGTTTTGGCAGAGCAAGAAAGAAAACTTGGCTGTGAAAAGACAATTTTGGAAACCAAACAAAACCTCCAGCGAAGCTCAGATCCATCCAGAAATATTTACCAATACATCTGTTTTGTCTTTGATTAACCACCCCAGCAATTTAACAGGCCTTGTTAACCAAATGGTGACTTTATTCTACTTACTTCCTCCAGCTTTTACAGCAGGAATGTGATCAGGGGAAGCCCACTCCTCCTCTTCCTTCTTTGTTTACGTGGAAGAGCTTCTCAGATGGGTAACTAACAGATGAAGTGGCAGTTGAGGCAGTTAACCTGTGTCAGGTTTAAATACAGGTTGTTCCAGACTGGACTGTTCCTGGTTGGCCGCCTTATAGTCCCGCATAACTGTGGGCTGGCTAATGGGGGGGGGGGGGGGCGGATTTCTAAAACAGGACAGTCATCAATCATGAAAAATGATGGAGGAGGGGAAGGAAAGGTTGCCTGCAACAGGTGGTACAACAGTTTAATGGAATGTTTCCGGATCCCTCGAGAAGACGCTGTTTTATGGAGAGTATCTAATCATATCTATGGAGGTGATTACTTCTACCTTAGATGGGAGAGTTTGCATTGATGCGTCAGGAGTAAAAAAGTACTTAGTTGAGTGTGAAGAGAGTCTTTATCAAGCAACTTACTCATACTTATAACAAAGTGTAAGTACATTTCCATTCCACGTTTATTGGCTCCCTGTTCCATTCATTTCTATTAAAGCACAACGACAAATTCAAGTCTGTGTTTCTTGTTTCGCTGTAACAGCCAATCTGCCTCATTGTCTATAAAAAAAAATCCTTGTAAGTTACTCAGGTACATGTTTTACTGCAAAAGCATACATACATGTATCAATAAAGTTAATTCTAGTTGTTTCAAATCCTCCTGTACCAATTGACGTGTGACATTAACATCAATCTAATAAAAATGTAGATGTATTACTAAAAGGAAATTAGCAAAAACTAAATTGAAACAGGAAAATAATTCTGCAGCTGGTAGACAACTTACATCAGATAAATTATATAAATCAATGCCAGATTTTATAGAATAAATGACTTAAGCTACGTAAGTCAAAAGTTTGAGAATTTGATAAAAAGCTCCTATTCTTTGCAAGTAGCATTACATGTGAAGAAATGTTACTTTTACACTTCGCTTAAGTCTGAAATTAAACTGTTCGCAGTTTGACAAATGCATGCCAAGATGTTTATCTAAATAAGTTTGGTTGAATATATTTATTATTTGATGTGAAATGTACTCTTTTTTTAAAAAGTGTGCACCTGCTTTTTGTGCATTCCAATTGAAGAAGGATGTCTGACGATCCACTAGAAGGAAGTATTGACTTGTTTTGCACTGTGACAGAAAACCGTCTGATTAATGTTTTTGCATTGTTGCAGAAGTTACGTTTTAGACGGCTTCATATTTCAAAGCTGCATCACGTAGAAAATGCTTAATTTATCAGACAAGTTGACAAGTAAAACACAAAATTGCAGAGCTTAATGCAGACTGATGTATAACAATTAATTTAATTTAACTCTTATGCTTAAAGATCTGTAGCTTTGAAAGAAAAGTCGAAGCTGTCTTCAAAGCCAGATGTAACATTGATAAAAACAGGCATTTGTATGCAGTATTATACATTTTGAGACAGTGACTGTCTTGTTGTGTGCATGTGTGTGTTATGTAAAACATGATAATTCACCACTGCTCTGTCTAGCTAAATAATTCAACTGTTGGCCATTAAGTGTCTTGCTGATGAGAACCTCAACAGCAGTTGTTAAGGGATCACTGTTAAGGGATAAGAGAGCTCAGCCCACTTACTTCACTTGCTTGTTTTCCCAGCTGGTCCAGGTGTCTCTGTGTAAAGGTCCTTTCACAGCACAGTCCCTGAGGCACCACGGCACCTCAGCTGCAATATGCAGCAAATAAATTAATGATTTTAAGGCAAATGTTCGAGCCTCTCTGCGTCTAAATATTAATGCCCACATGCCTGCAAAGGTGATCAACAGAGATACTTAGAATAAGTATTTAAATAAATAATGAAACAAGGTATTGTGAATTGTATTCTGCTCACTGAACAGAATACATAATGTGCTTTGTTCCTAAATGAATACTAATCAGGGAAGGTGAAAGAAGTCTCCTAATATGAAGAGAGATGTTTGTTTAGTTTTGGATTAAATTGCCTTTGTTTTTAACCTTGCAAGTTTTTCATTGCATTGTATAATTTTGAAAGCATTATATGCCGTATATGGCCAACTCTAAAATGATTTTTAGTGAGAAATGATGAATACATTATGTTTTAATTGAAATATTTTCTTCTGTGTACTAACCGGCATCTCTTTTTCTCTTGCAGATGTGGATGAGTGTACAGCAGGCATAGCAGTGTGTCCCCGGTTCAGGAAATGCATAAACACCTTTGGTAGCTACATCTGCAAGTGCCATGAAGGCTTTGACCTGCAATACATCAATGGGAAATACCAATGCATAGGTACCGTCACTACTGTCTCCACAGTGAGGCTTTTTTACCTTGTTGCTGCTGAACTGACTGATGAGTCGCCAACTGTATTTCATTGTATCTTTTTACAATGACAATAAACATCCTTTGCCCTTTTTATCCTTTTACAGATAAAACTTACAAAGGTCATAAATGTGCTGAGATGTCTTGACTTATAACCAACATTATGATTATTTTTAGTGATGCAGGGTGCTGTTTTTACACCAGACACTGAGGGAGCAAATAGAAACGATAGCACACACACACAGACACGCATAGTACTTATCAACGCATATCAAACAATAGTCTGGTGCCCATATGTACAGTATGCTGAAATTAATTTCTCCTGTAACTTCAGAAGGTACACACTACCAACCAGTGACGTATACGTTTAATCCGTACTGTACTTAAGTAGAGTTTTGACAGACTTTACTTTACCTGAATATTTTTAATTTTATTCTACTTTATACTTCCACTACGTTTCAGAGTAAAATATTCTTTTTACTACATTTATCTGACAGGTATTGTTACTGATTACTTTGCAGATTAAGATACATACAAAACATATGATCATTTTATGAAGCAAGTTGCATTATTATACTGTACATTAATAAAACCAGCAGTATGTAACACTGTTCAAATAAGCTCTACCCTGATCTGCTACAATATTAAAAGTACAGTTTTTTTATATAGTATGTATGTATTTACATCTGCAATGAGATAGTACATTATTGTATGACATTCAAACATACCACTGTTCAAAAATGATATTCCATAACAACAGATAAATACAAAAAGTCAATTTGAGACTCTGTAGTTGAAGTAGTAAATATGTAATAAAGGAGGAACTGAAACTTCAGAATACTGTTGTTAAACGTTCCCCCAGCTGTGCATTTCGATGATGAATACTTGCTATCTAAACATTTAAAGTGACATTCTATAGAAATCCACGCAATAACCTTGAGTCGTAGCAGCATCCAGAAGATGCACTACATCCAATCTTTTTTCATTCATTTTTTAAGAACAAATTTTAAAAAAAGAAAGAAACATTAAAATGCTTTAAAGACCTTGCAGCTTAATCTCTTGGAAGATTTTTCAACAAACAACTCTGATGATGATTTTTTCTCTGGCATTCACAGAGGGATAACTGTTATTCACTTAAATGCTTTTGCTAACAATACTTATGACATGAACTTTGAGCTCTCCTTGAAGTGGATGTGAAGCAATTATCTTTTGACATTTTGCTGTTATGTTAACTTTTTTCTTTTACACTTGCAGTCAGTAGCTTAATGTTATGTTTTTACTATCTTTCAGATGTGGATGAGTGTTCTTTAGGTCAGAGCCACTGTAGCAACTTTGCCTCCTGCTACAACACGCCGGGCTCGTACAAGTGCAAATGCAAAGATGGCTACAGGGGGATGGGCCACGATTGCAAATGTAAGAATTGAGAACAAAACACCTGGCCGTGATGCTCACTTTTGCAAAGAGGACCGGGGCCTCACATATTTGTTTTCTTTGCCTGTGTTTTTTAAAAAGCTAGGAAACCAGGAATAGCCTTCTCAGCAAAGAGCCGGGACTGAAATTCCTTTCTTTGTAATGGCTGTCAGTCATCACGTAAATCACCCTGCTCCCTTATCACATGTGCCCCGAGTGAGCCTTGACTCCTTTTTAAAAAAAAAACAAAAAAAACATGTTCTATTTTATTCAGCCAAGAAGAGGAGTTATCGTCAAATGTCAAAAAAAAAAATGTATTTTCCTAGTCTCACTTTGCTTGCTCACACCCACACATTTCATTTGGATTGTGCGTCTGTAGTTTTTACAGCAGCTCAGTGGACAAGAAGTCATTTATTCTCCACAGTTACTTAATCATCTAACAGACACAACCAGTGTAACAGTCCATAGAGCAGCGAGCAGCGAAGATGCCTCCTGGTGTGGTGCGTTGCAAATATTTCACCCTGTCGTCTGCCCAAGGGGGTGTGAGCCACTAGCGCTCTGGGAGTCGAGTTGCAATATCCTATTTGTGTATCACATATCAAAGTCGCCTGCAACTTGAGAAGGCAATAACTGAGTTCAAATCTCTTGCCTTTGTCCACTCATTCCTCACTCATGAAACCCTTATGAAGCCCTCCCCCCCACACACACACCCCCCCAAGTCTCTGCTCCTGTGTGAAGATTGTGTGGAGGAACAAAGAAAAAGGAGGCGTTACGTTTATGACATCAGCAGAGCGAGGGTGATCTCCGGGGCACAGCAGCCTGTTTACTTACACACACACACACACACACACACACACACACACACACACACACACACACACACACACAC